CCCCCCCCCCCCGCGCCCCGTCTCTATGTGGTATATATTCCGTTTTTTTCTTGTTCTTGTTGTTTGTTTGTCCTTGTTGTGGCCCCAACAGGAGCCTGTCGACGGTCCTTCTCCGGTCGAAGAAGTACAAGAAGTCTTTGGAGACGCTCATTGTCCAGCACGTACTGCCGGAGTTCCAGAGCCCCGTGGGGTGAGCCCTGTCAGAGGGCATTCGAAGGCTTTTGTTGTTGGTGTGGTTGTTGTTTTTTTCTCTTCCCTTTGATGGAGACGCCTTGCATGGTTTAGAAACCGACTGCATCAGGGCCGTACGAACACACTGTCGATGAATTCCAAATCCAACATGCTTACATGTAGCTTCTACGGGAAATCGGGTTTTACCTGTATCGAAGGCGTAGCGTGTACCGCAACGAATGGTGTACTAAGCCTTTGTGCTGTATGCGGCAGGAAAAATGGCAACATTCGGACGAGTCTTGGCACGGTAGGTTATTCGTGACTCTACCGAAACTAATATTGTTCCGGAATAGATGTCACAAGTTCGTGCTTCTACAAGTCTGGGCACTGGTAGACATGCTATTCTTGATTCCACCCGTAACTTATCTTGGGAGTCATTCCCGCCAAAAGAGACGGGGTAAAAGGTCGTGTAGCTAGCAATGGCACCAAAGGATACACCGCAATGACTGACCCGCGCCGCTGCTTTGGCTTCGTCCTATCGACTCGGTTGACAGGTTCATGAGATATCGCGCGTGCTGGATGGTGCAAAGATTTGCTCAGGCGGAGTTCAAAGACCCGCAGACGATAATGCACTGCCTCAANTAGTCGTCATTGACCATTGACCTCGCATCCCTACAAACCCGGGACGGAGCACGCCGGGTTCTCACCGAACCAGGCTCTCACATCACCAAGCGCGAAGGAGAGTTAGTCCAGTTTTGTCCGGGGGGGGTTTCCTTGTTTGCTCTAGGCGCGAATGGGTTTTACAATAAGCTGTCGCTCTGTATTGTGCGGTTCCCGCGAAATTTGTACCACAGTTTACCACGGCACTGTTTTCCACGGAAACTTGTTCCGTCGCCCTGAAGACGAGGAGAGAGAAGTTGTTGAACAGAGGAAGCCCCGAACGTTTCTTGCGTTGAACGTTGAAGACATCACCGGCAACACAACAACATACATTCCGTCCGTTGTCGTCAATTATTGCAACACTTAGCCACTCACGGCGTTATTCTTCGCCTGCCGACCTTTTTTGTCGTCACCGATACGTTACGGCAGTGCTTACGGGATAGCTCCCTCCCAGTCCAGATCGAAGCTGCGTCTTCGCTTCGGTACCTGATTGAGCTCGACGAGGCGGAAGAGCCCGTGAGGCAGGTGCTGCCCGACATCCTCAACGAGTACTTCCGCATCATGCAGGAGATCGGCCTTGACGAGGTACGGTACGGTACGGTACGGGCTGGGCACGAAGTACGGTGGGTGGCCTTGGGGTGGCATGACGTAAGATGCCATACCCTCTTGGACTGATATTCGCAAGTAGCCTTCGCAGGTTTTCTGCTGTAAAATTAACATGTTGGAAAATACATTCAATAGGGGAAGTTGGGTTAGGGTCAGGTTTAGGGATAGGGTCCGCGTACCCCCTCCCTGGCGGTCGGTGATCTGTCCTGTGGGAACAATGTTCGTCCTCTCTGGAGACACGTGATGAATGGTCTAGCGCTAAATACGACCTCCCCCCCCCC